CCTTGTATTGCTACTGCAGCGGGAACGCTGCAAGAGGTGCCTGGACGGTCGGTGTTGTGTGAAATCCCATGGCACCTTAGTAGATGGCTGGAGAGATTTGTCGTGTTGCCGTTGTACTTTACTTTGCCTTTACATATTCGACAAACAGCGAACGACTTATTTACAACATCGCCGTTTTTGCAAAACCCAAAGTGGTTCCAAACACTGGACAGCAATGGTGGCTTGATGATTTCTTGCTCTTCGGCATCTCTTCTGTATTCCGCCATGCTGTAGTGTTTTGTCTTTGCAGTTGCACTGCTGCTGGCTAGGGCTGAACGATTAATTGCATTTGCGATAAAATCGCAATATGATGAAACGCGATTTTGTAATCGCAAGAGCTGCGATTACATTGGTCACGTGACACGCAAGAGAAAAGCAGTCTGCAAGATAAAGCATCAACTTGCCACGCTACGCGGTCTGGCGTTTAGAAAAGAACAGTTTATTATGTTATTTATTCTCTCCTCTCCTCAACAATCCTGGATCGATTCAGAGAATTTCAGAATCGAGTATGAGCTTAGTTTTTAAACACAGATGCGTGATGACGCTGCGCGTGCTTTAGAAACGAACCGTGTTCTGAATCTGCTTGCTTCTATTTTCTCGCTCTCTCTCTTCCTCACTCACACACACGACACCGCTCGAACCTTCCAAAACATAGTAACGTTATTTCATAAAGTTCGGGATTTAACCGAATTACAAGGACATTCGCGGGCTTCATTGAACAGGTTTTGCCGCTTTGCTTGATGTTATAACGTTACACTTGCAGTGCGCGTTCTCTCCCGCGGGAATTTTCTTTACAAATGCTTCACAGAGGCATTATTTATGTCTTTTGGAATGCAGTTGGCTTATATATTAAAACCATGAAAATCACTGAGAAGGCTGCTTTCATTTTAAAATAGTAACGCGTGCTTTGTGAAGAGCGCTCGTGCATGCGGCTGTGAGTGACTCATTGGTAAATGTACTTGCATGTCAAAATGCTTTTATGACGCGAAATTAATGTGAACACGGTCAGTTATATCTTAAACCAACAGGACAAACCACATTTACAATTTCAAAAGAGATATATGCATTAGTGTGAATGCAGCTTATCGTATCTAAACTGAGGGGAAATCACTCCAGCTCTTGAATGAAAAACATTCAGACAGCCTACTTTTAAATACTGAGACCACTCTTTGTTTATTGCTTGTAATGTTTTTTTTTTTGTTTCTCTTTATTTACTAGCTTTTATATTTTGAACCTATATTATTTTGTATGTGTTTTTACACATGTAATTAAATACATATTTTAAGTGTTATTAAGATTAATTAATAAGAAAAAAAGTAGATCAGATCATGAGCTATCTAAAGATTCCCATCCCTACTGTACAATGATTTATTGCTTGTCTTTGTCGACTAATACAGAAGGTAAACAACTTTTTTTTTAAATCGCATATTAAATCGCAATCGCAATATTGGTTAAAAAATTCGCAATTAGATTATTTTCCAAAATCGTTCAGCCCTACTGCTGGCGCCTGGCGATGACGTCACATAAAGGCAGACTGAATTGAGTAATGTTTAACGCCTTTATCATTAAAGGTGCTAAGAAAAAAACGGCCATATAAAGTCTGACGTGCTTAAAGGGTTAGTTCACCCAAAAATGAAAATTAAGCCATTAATTACTCACCCCCATGCTGTACCAACACTGTAAGACCTCCGTTCGTCTTCGGAACACAAATTAAGATATTTTTGATTAAATTTGAGAGCTGTATAACTACCACATAGACTGCCTAACGGACTGGCTCTTGACGGCCCAAAAAGTCAATGAAGAAAATGTTTAAATATTCCATGTGACTACCGTGGCTCAACTATAAGTTTATCAAGCGACGAGAATACTTTTTGTGCGAAAAAACAAACAAAAATAATGGCTTTATACGACTATTCCTTTTCTTCCTTGTTGGCCTGAAACGAGACTTCAATACGATTTCCACGACGCATGCGCGATAATTGCGATCTGGAAATCTAAGGAAGTCTCGTTTCAGGCCAACAAGGAAGAAAAGGAAATAGTCGAATAAAGTCGTTATTTTTGTTTGTTTTTTCGCACAAAAAGTGTTCTCGTCGCTTGATAAACTTATAGTTGAGCCACTGTAGTCACATGGAATATTTAAACATTTTCTTCATTGACTTTCTGGGCCGTCAAGAGCCAGTCCCTTAGGAGCCTATGTGGTAGTGAGACAGCTCTCAAATTTAATCAAAAATATCTTCATTTGTGTTCCGAAGACGAGCGAAGGTCTTACGGGGTTGGTACAGCATGGGGGTGAGTAATTAATTACTTAATTTTCATTTTTGGGTAAACTAACCCTTTAAATCTAATGAGTTATTTCCTATTATTGATACAATCGATTGATTACCTTTCAAAACGATATTAGATCGATACATGTCGTCTAGAATGCCGATTTGCCGAGCACAGATCAATGTAGTTGGATTATAGGAATATAAATCGATACATCGATGTAGTAGATGAATCGTTACACCCCTAATATATATATATATATATATATATATATATATATATATATATATATACTTAATATATATGTGTATACCTACTTCTGTCATGAAACTCTGGATAGTGCAGGCTAATAGGTCTTTAACTAATTGGTAGCAATCATGTCAAACTACATAGTACAGCTGATTGGTTGCTGTTGCATCAGCGACAAATGAGCTTGCTGCTCAAACATTCAAATACTTGGCATTGTTTGCAGACTCGGCAAGGTCTGCAGCACACTTTCAGAACACATCTGGAATCAACATCTAAGATAAGTAAAAATTATCTTTTATCTTTTAAAATAAAAAGTGCATCCATCGATGATTGATACAAATAATCCATATTGCTCCAGGGGCTTAATAAAGGCCTTCTGAAGCGAAGTGATGTGTTTGTGTTTGGAAAAAAAAAAAAAAAACTCTAGTTATTTAGCTAGTTATTTAAACTAAAATAACTAGCTTCCCCAGACGGTCGTACGCATCGATTTAAGGCGAAAGAGCCTTGACTTGAGGCATGAAGTGTTGACAAACGCAGAAGCTCAGATGATAGAGCAGAGGTTAGGGTTAGCTTGAGTTTATTGCCTAGCGTAGGCCGTCTGCTGGAAGCCAGTTATTTTCAGTTGTTAGTTTTGGGCTTCAAAATATCCTTCTACATTCACTGACATTATAAAGCTTGAAAGAGCCAGGACACCTTTAAATAATTTCCTATTGTATTCATCTGAAAGAAAGTCCTATAATCCTTGGAAGGCTTGAGAGTGAGTAAATCAAGGGTTAATTTTTTCCATCCTTCTTGGGAACTATGAAGTACCGCCTGTAAAACCCTGAATCTCTCTTGGGTAGAGGGATATGTTATATGGCCTCTTTCGCCAAGAGAGACTGAACCTCCTGTTCCAGCACCTGAGCCTGCTCTTGGCTGAATATAGTGGACAGTACTCCCTTGAATCAAGGGGGAAGAGAATTGCTCTGAATTCTGTCTCTATAGTCGTCAGGACCCATTTATCCTTAGATCCGTCTTCTCCTGGTCTGGCTTCGATTGAGAGTGCCGTCTCAACCCCCAGTCTCTGTGAGGTGGGGCTCTCTTTTTACTGTTTATGGTGCAAGGAACAAGGCCAGGAGGGGAAAGCGGGGGATCCAAAATTAAAGCTCTATCTTTTTCTTTTATTCCCATAAGGTTCAGCCATAAGTGCCTCTCCATAGCCACCAAAGCTGCCATGCATTTCCCATTAGCCGTGCTTATTCAGCTCCATAATCATGGACAAAAGAGACAAAAGAGCCTAGCAGAAAATGGCTTGTTCCAGGACCATGACATCTTAATGTGGAGGTCCGGAAAGAACGTGGAGGCTGTAATTTGCTGGGCAATAACCATTCGTCTAGCCTACTTTTTGTCTGTATTTGGGAGCTTACACTGGATGTTTGTCCAAACTATATGAAAAGCTTATTTTAATATCATTCTGTTCCAGTCATAGTTATTATATAGCAAATATGTTTTTTATTTGTTTTGTTTTTTTTTACAAAATTTCTGTAAATATATTTTGATTAAAACCGTAAAATGCTTTAGTTTTTTAAAAGTCCATTTAAAAAAATGCTTGCAGAAGTCACGTATAGCACATAGAAAAGCATATCCAATCCCTCATTCTTCATAATTTAATTGAAGATGTAACACACACACACACACACACACAAAAAAAATAAATAAATTTGTTGCATTTTATGTTGTTGCCATGACTCATTTTCATCCATATAGTTTACACTCATTCACTTTACACACAAAATATTACATTATAGTTTTAGTTGTATATCTAAAATATTGTCATGTCACCTGGCTCTTGTTAATCAGCAAAAACAAGGAATGACTGTCTAATGAACCCTTTTTCAACTATTCATTTGAATTTGTTACTTGTTTTGTCTAATGCTTTTCTGAATATGGTATTCACCCCAGGGTTTCAGCTTCTGACATAAGGAGTACAGCTTAAATCAAGTCTTAGTATAAGTTTACACAACAACTATGTACTATTAACAGATTTTCTTTCTTTTGTGTTTTTCGCATACAGACGACAATGTTATCAAAGCGATCTCTGTTCACACATATCTGCAAAAGGACTAAAAATGTTGTATTATGCATGCCAGGCCAGCAGTTGGAAATGTCACTTTTTGATGAAACACTACACGCCTATAGACAGAACACGTAACACACATGCATGTGACATCATTGTTTTCACGAATTAAATTTTTAGTAGTTTACATGGAGAAATTAACATTACCATTTTCAAAAACGTGCACTTTCAAACTCATTTCCAAAGTTTCTTTTTTCAGTCCTCCAAAACACTGTTGTCGTGTAAATGAACGGACAAAATGCATAAAAGGTTTTCCGTTTTTAGCTGAATGGTGTTGTATAAATGCTACCTGTAAGCTATCACTCCCTCCAGGAAATAAACGAGACCATGGTTCTGGTTACTGATGGATTTATTACAGTTGTCATCTTTCTCTCCTTCGTCACATTCACCATCAAAATCCACCGTCAAACTACAGTATGACAATGCACAAGATAAACACATTCACAAATATTAGAAAGAAGTAAATACAAAAACACTTCGGGAATATGAACATAATACACATACCTCGCTGGCTGCATTTAACCCAGAAGGAATGAGTTCACTTGAAACACCCGTCTCAAAAGGAAAACACAAAAAGCATCTTTACTTTTATCTCAGAAAAACGTGTAAAACTTCTATTCCACACGCGGAGAATAACTTCTGACCAAAGTCCGTTCTTTCCTGTTGCATCTCAAAAAGCGTCCGTGTGCAACACACCTTAAAATTAATGCACTTTAGTTCCCAGTCAACATAAACACTCAACATTCACGAATAGATTAAACAAACATAACAAAAAACATGTTCAATAACAGAAATAATATGTATGGCAGTTATACTCCCACCAAATGACTATTTTGTCATTTCACCTCACAATTCAAACCCTTTCACACTTTAATTTAACCATACAATAAACCTTAAACCTTACAGTAACATAAAATACTGTTTTTCGTGAAATGGTAACCATAACCTTTAGTCTGCTTCAAGCAGTAAAACTGTCTTTTGTACAGGCCTATCAAGGTAGACTGGTCTGGAAATACGTCTTCCCTGGCTGTCTAAGGTCGAGTCACTAATTAACAGTTTCACCTTTCGAACCTTTCCATCAGTGCTCGGATACACCTCTGTCACCCTTGCCAATCTCCATTGGTTACGTGGAGAACTGTCCTCCTGCAGGATGACAATGTCGTCAACCTTCGTATTTCTCTTCTCTTTCTGCCATATTTGTCTTTGCTGAAGATTAAGGAGATACTCCTTCTTCCACCTTGCCCAAAATTCGTTTGCCAAAAACTGCACCTGGCGCCATCTCTTGCGCAAGTATACATCCTGACTCACAAACTCTCCTGGAGGTGGGAATATTATGTTAGACTTCATCATAAGAATGTGATTAGGCGTGAGAGGTTCAAGGCTTGTTGGGTCATTTAAATGCTCAGTTGTAAGAGGTCTGCTATTTATAATAGCCATCACTTCATACAGAAAGGTTCTCAACGAGGTACTGTCGAGTCGTTGAGAAGACTGATCAAGGATTGCGCTTAAAACACTTCTGATCGTCCTTATCTGTCTTTCCCATACACCTCCCATGTGGCTCGATGATGGGAAGTTCATTACGAACTCGCATCCATATTCCTTTAACTGTTCATGATCCAAGTTTTTCATTGCCTTCATGAGCTCTCCTTTTGCACCAACAAAGTTTGTGCCTTGATCACATCTCAACTGTCTTACATGTCCGCGTATTGCGATGAAAACACGTAATGCATTGATAAAGGCATCAGTAGTGAGGTCATCAAGCATTTCTATATGTATGGCTCTAGAACACATACAGGTGAAAAGAAGACCATATTTCTTTAGTTCCTTTCTTGCTTCCTTCACATAGAATGGTCCAAAGCAATCCATGCCACAATATGTGAAAGGAGGCGTCATTTCCATTCTTTCTTCTGGCAAATCTGCCATTTTTGGATCTTGTGTGCTCCTTCTGTACTTTCTGCATGTTGTGCACTTGTAAATATGTGAGGCAACTGCACTGCTGCATCCTATGACCCATACTCCATTGGATCGCAATTCATTGCCAGTTATTCCTCTTTCATTGATGCTGCACCTTTTCATGGTAGTACTTAATAAGCAACGATGATACATGACTCTTATTTGGCACAATGGCAGGATGCTTGACATGTGGATGAAGAACAGATCTTGCCAAACGTCCTCCAACCCTAAGCACACCATGCTCATCTACAAACGGACTCAGTTTGTGTAGTTTGTTTTTGGGTTTTACTTCCTTGCCTTGCGTTATACCTCTAATTTCACTGCCGAATGCTTCCCTCTGAACCAACTTGATTATAAGCAGCTCTGCTTCCCGTCTCTCCTCAAGACTTGTTGCTCCACTTACTTTATCTTTGATGCCCTTGATCTGCTTAGCATGGCGCTTTAGAAGAGCAATAGCCTTGACAGCTCTTTTCCAGTCAGAGAATTTTGTTAGGCGTTCTAACAATGACCTCTCCTTCCTCACCTTGGTGTTGAGCACCAGGGCCTTCCGAAGTTCCGGATCATCATCATAAACTTCTCCCACCATAACATCTCCTCTGGGTAGCTCCTTTTCCCATAAAAAATCTGGGCCAGTGAACCAGTTTGAAGCAAGAAGCTGATCTGCGGAGAGACCTCTCGACGCATGATCCGCAGGATTATCTTCAGACCTTACAAAGTGCCATTGTTTAGGATCTGTAGTGGACTCGATTCGTTGGACTCTGTTCGCCACGAACACATGAAACCTCCTGGCATCATTGTTTATATAGCCTAGGACGACCTTCGAGTCAGTCCAAAAATGTTCTTGAAGACCCTCTATTTCAAGCTCATTTCTAAGCATAACACTTATTCTTGCTGCCACAACTGCAGCCGACAACTCAAGCCGTGGCACTGTGGTTACCTTGGTAGGAGCAACCCGTGCTTTTCCCATGACAAGCGTGCAGTGAACATCTCCGTTGACGTCGACTGCTCTGAGGTAAGTACATTCACCATAACCGATGACACTTGCATCTGAGAAGTGGTGAAGTTCGTACTGCTTGACATCCTTGAAGTTATCTGGGATATAGCACCTTCTGATCCTTACATTAGATAAGTTTCGAAGATCTTGTAGCCAGATTTCCCACTGTGCACTCAGCTCTTGTGGAAGTGGCTCATCCCAAGTTACTTTGTCTCGACACAGTTGTTGTAGAATCTGCTTTCCACGGAGAATAAAAGGTGCTACAAACCCCAATGGATCGTAAATGGACGCTACTGTAGACAGTACACCTCTTCTGGTATTTGGGTGTTCCTTGACAGTCACTCTGAATTGGAAGTCATCAGAGGATACACACCATTGAACGCCAAGAGCTCTTTCCATGAGTGGCTCACCTAAACCCATATCCATTTCCTTGACACTTTCAGCACACTCATCCTTTGGTATTGATTTCATTACCTCCTTACTGTTGGAGATAAATTTGTGAAGTCTAAGTTTGCCTGTGCTGCAAAGGTCTCTCGCCTCCTTAATCAGTTGGATTGCTTCAGCATCAGATGTTGCGCACACCAGTCCGTCATCAACATAAAAATTCCTTTGGATGAACTTAACAGTGCTTGGGTTAAATTTATCCTGACCTTGAGCGGCTAGATGCTTAAGTCCGAAATTGGCACATCCAGGTGAGGAGGCTGCCCCAAATAGGTGGACCTTCATCCGAAAAAATTGAGGGTGGAGAATCTAGGTCACCGTTCTCCCACCATAAGAACCTGAGGTAGTCTTGGTGTTCAGGCCTTACATGGAATTGATGAAACATTTTCTCCACGTCACACATGATGGCAATCGGGCCTTTGCGAAACCTACAAAGGACTCCCACCAAGGTGTTTGTGAGCTCTGGACCAGTAAGAAGTTGATCATTCAGTGACGTTTCTTGGAACCTTGCTGAGCAATCAAAGACCACTCGTATCTTCCCAGGCTTTTGAGGGTGGTATACGCCATGGTGGGGAATATACCAGACTGGTTGATTGTCAAGCTCTTCTTCAGGGACCCTTTCTGCGTCACCACGAGCAATGATGTCCTTCATAAACCCCAAGTAGTCAGTGCAGTATTGCTGGTCTCTCCTAAGCTTTCGTTCCAAGGACATTAGGCGTTGAACAGCACATGATTTATTGTTTGGTAGATTTGGTTTCTCTTGTTTAAAAGGTAAAGGCATTTCAAAATGGCCGTCTTGCTTCTGTCTGATTCCGTCTTTCAGTTTAGTCAAGAAGTGAAGATCTTCTTGAGAGAAGGTTGTCTCTTCTCCACCTCTCTCACTGAAATCAGATTCCAACATCTTAATTATGTCATCTGGAGTGACCATTTCACTGACCTGGGTATGGCAAACATAGTGTACTTCTCCTTTAAGCTGGACCATTGCATTCACTTCAGGCATGACTTGTTTTACGATGATGCGGTGACTTACTCCAATTGCATCACCGTAGTGTTCACCTGGGTCACCATAACTCACTATGCTCCAACCTAAGTCAGTCTTCTGAGCAAATGGCTGGCTTTCCTCTCCACAAACGACTTCTCGTGGCATTAGAGCTTGTGGGCAATTGTACCCAATCAACAGACCAATTTCACAATCCTTCTGAGGTGCAATGTAGTCAGCAAGATGCTCCAAATGAGGCCATGCCTTTGCTGTCTCAGGCACTGGGATATGCGAGCGATTAGCAGGGATGAAGTCACGAGTGTAAACTGTGGGCACTGTTAACTTCTTGGAGGAAAATAGGCCCCTAACTTGTAGGCTATTAAGTCTTTTACAGTGAATGATTGTCCCCTTTGACGACATTGTAGATAGTTTTAACTTCACTTGTTCAGTGTTTGTATCAAGAACACCTGCCACTTCATCAAGAATGAATGAAGAGTCACTCTGTGAATCTAACAGAGCATAGACGAGAACTTCCTTGTCTGGATCACTTGGCGTTGATACATAGACAGGTACTATTGCAGATGTCTGTGTACTGTTAGTATCTTGTACAACTCTGTTAGAGGTTGTTTCCTTTGTGACGTCTTGTGGGTGAATTCCTTCCTTAGATCGTTCTTTCTTTAGTTCTTGGGCCCCCTTTAAACGTTCTTCATGCAGGCATGTGGGATGCCTCTTTGAGCAAGAATCGCAGACCATCCGGTTACTGCAGCTCTTAGACTGGTGACCAGGACTTAAACAGCCGAAGCACAGTTTTTCACTTTGCATAAATTTAATGCGGTCAGCAACTGGCTTCTCTCTTAATTTGTAGCACTTGTGTAAGCTGTGACCTGTTTTCTTACAAAACACACATGTGACTATTTTCCTTTCACTGGTGTTTGTTGTGAAGATCTTGGCACCTATGGTTTGGTTCTTGGAGGTCATAATGTTCTGGCTCCTGCTCTTTGCTTTATCCAACTCACTTTGCCGTAATGCATGGAAGGATGTAATGGGGTTGCAGACGATGCTTGCCTCCATTGAAAGGAACATCACAAAATAACTGAAGTTTGGGAACCTTCCGTGTTCAAGTTGATATTGTGTGGCCTTTCGGTTCCATCTGGAGCTTAACCAGTCGGGTAACTTGGCAGTAAGTTTTTGATTCTCAATTCCATCATTAAGAATGTGGAGATTGTCATTGTTAGCCATAGCACTTTCACAACTGCGTAAAAGGTCCACAAATTTTCTCAACTCAGCACTCTCTCTTGAAGCTATTTTTGGCCATGTATGTAGTTTGTCTCGGAAAGCCTTGGCAATTACAAAGGGTTGGCCATATCTTTCATTGAGCAGGTCCCACGCTGCATTGTATGAATCTTCTGAACCAGCCAGAAAATGACCTTCTAAGGCTTCTCTAGCAGCTCCTCCGACATATTTTTGAAGGAAAAAGACTTTCTCTGCTGTTGGAATATTCTTTTTCTCTATTAGTGTCTGAAAGGATGATTTCCAATGATTAAACTTAAGTGGATCTCCACTAAAGACCGAAGGCTCTGGAATGGGTAACCTGTTTGCTGTCATAGCTTCAGCTAAGACCTTCACCAGCTCTCTCATGTCATCTTGGAGTTCACCTCTTGGAGTCACATCTCTGTTTGGTGGTGGATGCTGATCAGCAATAGTCACTTGGTTGATTATCTGCATATCTGTAGCCTCAAAGTTTTGCGGTACAAAGTCTTGGGTTGGATAAAACTCATTTTCATTGTACACTTGAAGCTTTGCTTTAGCCGCATTAAACCTCTTTAGCTCTTCCAAACGCTCAAGCTCTCTTTTCAAATTTTCAACTGACCTTCTTCTTGCAGCATTCTCTTCATGCTGTCTCTTCAACAGAGCAGCCTCTTGTCTCTCTTTTTCTATCTTGCGTTCGATTTCTTCCTTTTCTCTTTGAAGACGGCGAGTTGATGCTGCTGCTTCTTGGTCTGCAACTATCAACTTATCTTCAGCTTCAAGTCTCTGCAGTTCTGCTTGGTGGCTTTCTTGCTCAACCATAATCTTCAATACAGCCTGTGTATGTGCATACTCAGCAGCAGCTTCTTGTCTTTTGGATGAGGATACAGAAGAGTGGATGGAATTAGACTTAGAATTATTGCTCTGAAATGAAACACTGGAGGTTGAAGACACGAATACAGATGAAGCATCAGGCCAAATAATTTCTTCCTCATTTCCTTGAATTTGAGACTGTGCATTTTGTATTACAATTCTTGTGATGGACGCACATCTGTCCAACTTGCGTCTCATGTCATGAGCTGGGCTGTCAATCTTTCTGAATTCATCATAAACACTGTTCAGCTCAGATTCTTCTCTTTGAATGCCTTTAATGTGTTCTTGGAGGATATCACTAGGATCTTGTTTGATTACAGATTTCTTAGTCACCTTGGTCAAAACCTTCCAGCGTTCATAAATACTGTCAAAGCGAAGTGATAATCCTTTCATCTTTTCCTTCTGCAATTCCTTTCCCTTTTCTGTTAATTTTCTATCTCTTTCACTTCTACGAGATCCTGCAGGCTGTACTGCTTGTTGTACTACAATGATAGACTTCTCTGCCACTTGTTCTTTTTCACTTGTTTGTGACATCTTACATTTACTGGGAATTGCTTGTAAACACTTAACATTAGCTGCGAAGTTAACAGCAGAATTTCCCTTTTTTTTTCTTCTGGTTAATCAAACTAAATTAGGTCAATGTCCTTTGATCAATCCTTCAATTGAAACAAACTTTGTAAAGGCTTGGTGCTTAGAAAATAATAAAAAACTTCACAAAAAAACCCCCCTGAAAAATATTGGCTCGCTTAATGTGCACTTTTTCAAGTTATCACTTGCTTTCTTCAATAGACAAAATAAATAAATTCCCCTTACACAATTTAAACCACAGTTATTATTATTAAGGTTGCACAGTCTCTCTTGTAGTGTTCAAACTTATTGTCACCTTTCAGTACAAAAGCTTACGTGACTGACTTATGGACGTCTTAATGAAACACTGAGAAATGCGGGTCCTTAACGGTAAACGTGGGCTTATCTGTGTTACGTTACATCCCGTCTTGCCGAGTTGAGACACATCAGATCCGGGCGAGGCACGAGCAGGTTCGGGATCGCTGACGCAGGTCCGAGTTTGACTATCACTCCCTCCAGGAAATAAACGAGACCATGGTTCTGGTTACTGATGGATTTATTACAGTTGTCATCTTTCTCTCCTTCGTCACATTCACCATCAAAATCCACCGTCAAACTACAGTATGACAATGCACAAGATAAACACATTCACAAATATTAGAAAGAAGTAAATACAAAAACACTTCGGGAATATGAACATAATACACATACCTCGCTGGCTGCATTTAACCCAGAAGGAATGAGTTCACTTGAAACACCCGTCTCAAAAGGAAAACACAAAAAGCATCTTTACTTTTATCTCAGAAAAACGTGTAAAACTTCTATTCCACACGCGGAGAATAACTTCTGACCAAAGTCCGTTCTTTCCTGTTGCATCTCAAAAAGCGTCCGTGTGCAACACACCTTAAAATTAATGCACTTTAGTTCCCAGTCAACATAAACACTCAACATTCACGAATAGATTAAACAAACATAACATAAAACATGTTCAATAACAGAAATAATATGTATGGCAGTTATAAAGCTTTTTTTTAAATTGAAAAGAGTTGTGAACATTAGCCAAATGTAAAGACAGTCCTGTAAGTATGCATAATATGCAATTTTTTTTAGTATTATTTACACATAAACATGATTTTAAATGAGAGTTCCACATGATATTATGCAGAGGAAGGGTGATTTTATCAGAGCTGTGAACCAGTAGAGTAAGATTGCTCAGGGATGATCATGCAGGTTGGCATGTTTGTCTTTAATTGGGTGCATATGAGGTTTTGTAATGTCTGCCTTTGGCTTTCTCTCTGTCCAAATTCCCACCCCCTTATCACCCTTATGTTGTCACTCTCTCCCTGTCACACTTCACATCATGGCTTCAGGAAAATAGACCATATGGACAATGGTTCAGTTGTTGCATCTTTAACCATATATCCAATGTGATAGTCCTCTGCAGGGAGCTGGAGTTTCGAGAATAATCTGAGACCACCTTCATATGACTCATCTACTCATGTGGAATCTGCATGAGTCCATGTTTTTTAACAGTATCAATGACAAATGTCAAAGCTGCATAATAATATTCTTATCTATCAGTTATGGACTGCATAGACAATCTCTAAAACATTGTTGCATAAAAAAAATAAAAATAAAAAATGCTGATGACACCCACAGTTTCGATCTGCCTGCCAATGTGATGTAATGCTGCTGCTTTGTTCCATAAATTGAGCTCTGACGTTCCATGCACTCGCCATGCAAAGGCAGTTCCAAAAATACCTTGCTTGGGCCAAATTCTAAGGCAGCGTTGCATGGCATCGGCTGTAAAATGTCGACAAAGTGGGTATAAATGCTGACTATAAATATATTTCATTCAGTACAGTAAAGTATCATTAAAAATCTAATTAATAACTGACAGTTTTATCCAACGTTTGAGTTTGTTGAATATTTGATGCTTATTAAAGTATCACATCAATGTAAAACTCTGTAGGAAATAATTCTGCCGGATGCTTCATGTTAGGGGCGCTATTTATTTATGCTTTTGGATATATTTATATCATGGTCTCTAAGAATACCTGATTCTAATTGCCTGGATAGTGTGCATTACCATTTAATGAATAGGCAGTTCCAGTTTAAACACATTCTAAGTTAATGGGGTGTCTTCACTGAAGGACACACGCATGCATACACATAAAATGTATTCATATTCATTCAAATAATTTTACCAAATGATTTATTCAATGATTTTAATGCACAACATGGAATCACCCAACATGTATTGTAAGCAGTTGCTGGGTTGTGATCAGAGCTACTGAATGATCATTCTATATCAAGCTATCACTGAATAATTTGCAGAATATTTACACAGTACTCAGTTAATTCAAATAATACTATGTTGTTACAATAATGTGCATCAAAAATTTAAAGGAGAACTCTGGCGCAAAATGAACCTTTGGTCTTATAAAACGTTGGTCAATCGTTCTCTGAGATTTGTTTTCATGATAATCGAATGTAAAGAGTTTTATCTCTAAAAACTGTTTAGCGTATAATGCTAGTACTGGGGGCATTTACTAAGTAAAAAGAAATCACTAGTTAATACCACTAACAAGGCTCAAAATAGCCACACAACTAACACAGTTACATAATGAGGGTCCCTACATATGAAGCATTGAGAACTTTGTAAGTGTACAGACCGTTTGTGAAAAATGTGCCTATCTTGTCTGTTAGGGTTACTATCATGATGATGACATAATTTCACCTTTAAAAAAGGTAAATGAGAAAGCAACCAATTCTGCTGTTTGTTGTTATGTGTGTGTGTGTGTGTGTATATATATATTTTTGCATTTTGTGTGTGAAGTTTTGGGTATTGTGTGTCGGAGTTTTGAAAAAAGGTGACGGTTTTGAAAATGTGTCTAATTTTATAAAGAACAGTGGCGGCAACTAGCGTCTTGAGCTCAAACAACACTGTGAGAGCTTACGAATGGTCCAGACCAACCTTACGAAAGTGTGACTTACAGAAGAAATACTTTTGCGCACGAACGTGTCGGGAACCGTGCCATAAGGTTAAGAGAGAGGTTAAGGAATAGGTTAAGAACTACTAGCGATAAGAAGTTTTTGATAAGAATCTTTTCATTGTCTTTTAATTCAGAATCCTAAATATGTGTATTAATAAACAAAATCAAAACATACAACAAAAGGTCCACAAGTCTATATCAGAAGTGACAGTTACAGCAGATAAAGAACAATCGTTCTCCAAATTGCCAGTCATCAGATCCTTGGTGTGTCTGGGAGTAAAAGAAGACACTGATTGACTTAATCCTTAAAAAGGAGGATTTATTTATTTATTTATTTATTTTTAAACAAGCTTAAACTATTGTTATTTGAATTGTCTTTTAACAGCATTTGACATCGACACATTCTGGCTATGTGAACACAGATTTAAGATTATTAAATGTTGTTAGGTCCTTCTGAAATGACAGGAAAGCCAAAAATGTTATTTCCAGTGTCTTTACCAAATTGTCTAGGATCTTGGGACATTTGCAAAAATCGGTTTGAGACTAATCTTAAAAGTTTGTCTTTATTTAAGACTGGTATTTATTTAAGTCAGTTGCATAACATTTAAGGCCGGTCTAATTTGAGACCAAAAAGTAAGGGTGATTACTGATTACTGTGTAATCACAGTAAGGGTATAACTTTCTGTTACAATCTATGTTGCCATGGAAGCTAATAAACTGTCAACTGCTCTAGATTCATTAAAGTGGTTTGAATTTGTCTTGTGCTATGGCAAATTTTAATATTTTAATTTAAAACCCCTCTGAAAGGGAACTGCTAGAGAAACTGACCTCTCCACCTTGAATAAGGTGCAAGCAGATTTTTTTGTTGCAAATCTTCATGGATTTCCATGAAGTGTAGTAGGAGCCATTGTTGATTCATTAGGATTCAAGCACCATGAACCATTGTTTGTAGGAAAGGCTTCCACAGTATTAATGTGCAGGCAATTTGTGATACCAAACTCAGAGTGCTTAACTGTGTCACTCGCTGGCCAGGATCAACCCATGACTCAAGAATATTGATGAATTCCCAAATTCATGATGCGTTTGAGAGAGGAGACTTGTAGGGTGTGCTCTTGGGTAACTCTGGTTCTCTTACCAGAGAACCAGACCTCGTAAGAGAACCAGAGTTACCCAAGAGCACACCCTACAATTCTCCTCTCTCAAACGTGGTTCTCTCGTATTGTGTAAGTAAGATTAATCTTTTCTGAGAAGTTGAAGCCATAAAATTATCCTAATTTTTGTATCTAACTAGCAAGCTCATTGGTTCGCTCTGAGGGAACTGCTGCAGCTTATGGGTGAACTCGCCTGAGCTCGTGACCAATGAGAGACTGACACGCTCTCATAGCGTCAAAGCCCGCGAAAAGGGGCGTGGCCCCTTATAAGAGCGTATATAAGAGCGGGCCCAGGCTGCAAATAACTGGTTTTCATAGAATGAAGCGAAGAAGGGGGGGGGGGGACATGTGCATACATCCGCCATCTTTGGTGTTACGGGGTTTAGTTGTATTAAGGATTGAGGAAGTGGCATGTCTCTATATAAATTACATTTGTTCTTTTTCTCTAGTATTTTTCTTCACCAAAGAATAATTTTTATCAGAGCAGTTACTGAGCAATTTTATATAATAAGCAACATAAAAAAATTAAATAAAAAAAAGTAGGGATGCACCGATCCACATTTTTTCACTTCCGATCCGATCCCGATACCTGACTTTGGATATCGGCCGATACCGATACTTTTCCGATACCAGACCTGTGTTTGCTTTAACATTATTTATCATTATTGTTGATTTTATATGATGCTGAAATAAACACCTCTCTACAAGCAAGGATGATACGTACGTATGTAGCCTATGTCAATATATATATATATATATATAATAGATATATTAAACAATAGATAGACAATTAAACAAAGATATACGCATTATACAGGCCTACACAGTGCTTTAATTTCAGGAAGGTCTACTAACATTATTCAGGTATATCGTCTAAAAAGAATTATAATAAAGTAATCAAAAGTAAAATAGCACTGCAAAGTTTATCATAGATAGATTTATGCTTATTAAAGCTGAAGTTATTCATTCAAGAGCTGTGAGTGATGTTCTCTTTGCCTTTGGTTGTTTTGTTCTCAGTAATGTCGCAATCGTCACATTTATACTGCTGCCCCTTTAAGAACTAGTGCGGATTTCATAGTCTACCTACTGATGCACCATATTTTCTCCCAACTATTTCCATAAACCGTTTATGTCTAAAATGAACGTAGTTAAGTGATAATCTCCAAGCCGGTCGTTTTGACATTTTTGTGCAGGCTACATTTGATCGTTTAGACGCGCATATGAAGCCCAAAGTATAATTTGCTTGTCTGTTTCGGAGCGCGCGCCGCCCTCTTGCGCAAATTTTGTGCTTTTAATAGCTCTTTTTATTATTAAAAGCGTCCCGCAATTTAGCAACAGCAGAGACGGCATTTTACAACAATTACCGATCGTGCTGATTCTGTCTTAAAGTTTGAGTTTTACGGAGAAATGACAGTGCACCGCCGCGATGGGAAGGAAGTTGGCTACACAGAATGCGGCTATTGTTTAATGTTTTTTTTTTTTTTTTTACCTCAATATATTCTTTAATCTTTGGAAATCAGACTATCACAGATCTAAAGTGTAACCAGGCTATGTTTTCTCTGTCATCACTCATTAAGCAGGGCTGTCGTGTTGTGCGTGCTGTGGCACCGCGTGAGAGATCTCTCTCTCTTTCTCTTCTGGACTGCGAATTGCAAACATGCATCACAGACAAATAGTTTCATTTATACGGCTTTGCAAACATTGCATTTTGCTGTCTTGCTCTGCTGCGGTGTTTCCAGTGTGAAGTATTTCCACCATAGGATTTCCACACAGCGAACATATTGGTAGCTCAATGCTATCCTGCTAGCTGGCTGCAAACTGCGGA